ATATATATATATATATGCTCAGGCATATAGAGATACTTTTTAAAACAGTACTTCTTCATTAAGGGCACCAGCAAGTGAACTATATAAACAGTCTATTTTGTAGGCTGTTCTTCAAATAACAGCTTAAAAGAAAACATGCTGGCTGGGTGTGGTGGGGCATGCCTTTAATCTCAGCCCTCAGGAGGCAAAGACTAGGAGATTTCTATGAGTTCCAGGCCAGCCTGGTCTACATAGAGAGTTCTAGGCCAGCTAGGGCTGCTTAGTGAGACCCTGTCTTTTAAAAAAAAGAGAGCAGAAAAAGAAAGGAAGGAAGGGTGTAAGGAGAAAGAAAAAGAAAACATGTTTATAGAGTAAGTGTAAAACCAGAAAGTTTCCAGTGATTAACTCTAGTTAATCTTTCCTTCCTTCCTTCATTCATTCATTCAAAATGAAATCCAGACATGTATTTTACTGAACCACTTCAGCATATAAATAGGTTTGTTTCATGACAGATATTGACAAAAATCTTCAAAAATTTGAATGAAATCATTCAAATCTATGTTGCATCTTTCATCACTAAGGTTATATTTAAAAGATCTTGGTCTTCTTCACAAAAGAAATTAGGAAGATTTTCATTTTTCCATTCTTTTACCAGTCAGACCAATTTATTCTGAAATAATCCCAGTTTAACTGGGAGGCTAAGAGGATCCTTGAGCCTGAGTTTGAGGCCATCTGGGGCAGCAAAGTTGAGACCTTATCTCTAAAAAATTTTTAAGGCAATTTTGTATCCCAAGGTGTTCTATCTGGTTTTATAATTTTTCCCCTAGAACTGGATTTCTCATAATATTTTGCAGAAATTTTTGAGAAGATGGCAGCTTATATGAAGTTTTGAGGGGTTGAATTGAAAAGATGCTGTAGTCCAAATAAACACAGTTGCAAGGATTTTTTTTATCACCAAGTGTTTGTTGGGTTATAATTTATCTTTGACATTTTTTTTTCCCAGTACTAGGGATCAAATCCATGGCCTTAAAGATATTAGGAAGCATTCTACCACAGCCATTAATTTTGTTGTTGCTGTTGTTGTTTTGTTGTAGTTGAGACAGGATCTCGTTGTGTAGCTCAAACTGACCTCATACCCATACCTCAGCTTCCCAAGCACTGGGCTCATAGGCCTTACTACTTTGCTTAGCTCTGATTGACAATTTTGGGAAAACTCGTGAAAGAAATATATTTCTTCTTTGGACATTTTTACTTATTGTTATTATTCTTATTATCATTATTATTATTATTGATCTGTTTGAGACAGGGTCTCCCTGTAGCCCCAGCTGCCCTGGAAGTTGCTATATAGACCAGGCTGGCCTCAAACTCAGAGATCTACCTGCCTCTGCCTCCCTAGTGCTGGGACTGAAGGCATGTGCCACCACGCCCAGCTGTTTATATTATATTTTTAAGGCTTAAAATAGATTCCCCCATACTATTTAGTGTATATAACAGGAACTTCCTTAATCTTTATAAGCAGGTGACATTTAAGTACTGATCCAATAGTAAATTACTGAGCCTTTTCTTTTTAGTATGATATACTACAGTTATAGTAGGACAGAGAGCCAGGTGTAGTGGTGCATGCCTTTAATCCCAGCCTTGGAAGGCAGAGGTAGGTGTATCTCTGTGAATTCAAGGCCAGCCTGGGCTACATAGTGAGTTCCAGGCCATCTGGGGCTACAGAGAGACACTGCCTCAAAAAAAAAAAAAAAAAGTAGTAGATAGATAGTAGATAACTATTGGTGGAAAGTCAGAGACCTTATTCAGAGTATTTTAAAATATAATCAGTGTTGGACCCCCAGACTGGGGTACCCAACGTTCACGGGGTACCCAATAACTCAGTCCTCAAATCAGGAGATGTAACAAGCATGAGGATTTATTGGTGTTTTGCAAAACGGACTCCCACCTCACTCGGAGGACAGAAGTCCAGAGCCCAGTTCACAGCTTTCTTTTAAAGACAAGCGGCGGCTATGTGCCAAGCAGAGGTAGGGGGAATTTCTGGGATGATTTCCAGCTTGGGCAGAGGAGCATGAAAAAGGTCAGCTCAGCTTGTTCTTAGCATTCAGAATTATTTTTTATTTTTACTTTCTTGTACAGTTTTTCTCAGGCCTGGGGGATTTTAGTTTAAATCCATTATTCTGGGGGCTTTGGATCCATCAATCAGTAAAAGGAAACAGTGAATAGAAAGTTTTTACTGGAAAAGTGCATGAGATCAAAAAGATCTACAAAAGTGGTCTGAACTACTCATGGTGGTGCACACTTTTAATTCCAGCACTCAGGAGTTAGAGGCAGGCTGATCGCTGAGATTCAGACCAGCCCGAGTTCCAGGCCAGCTGGGATACAGACCCTGTCTCTAGATAAATAAATCAATACTCCCTCCCTGTATACACAGCCCCCTGAGCAGGAGGTGTGGTCCTGTTCTGGGAGTTGAAGTGGTGCCCCTTCCCCCAATGAGCTAGCATTGTGGTCCCCTCCTGTGAACTGGAGCTGTGGCCCCCACACATGAACCTGAAGCTTTAGACCCCTACTATAAGCCACTGTTCCACATTGCTCTGGCAGAGGAATGGTAGAGCAGAGCAGAGCATGGGGGACTTCCTGATGTTGGGCAGCAGTTTCAGTCTTCTCTGAGTGATTACATTTCCCACAACCCCCTTCCCTGAGGTCTCAGGTTGTACATGGCAGAGGCTTTGCCTTTTATGCTGGGACAGGGGAGGCCTCTGTTATTTGCAGATTCTGGTCTCGGGAGGACTGATTCTCTGAAATGGACCTCCTACCACTCCTGAGGCCCAACTGTGGTCCTTACTCCACACATGGTCCTGGGTATCCAAGGCCTTGATGTTGGACCTCTCCCATTACCAGGCACCAAGAGGTTTTCCATTATTTTTCTATTACTCTTCTACAGCCCCAGTATGCCTTCACCTATGCCAGAATTCAACTTCTAGAGATAAAAACCACAGGCTGGGAAGTTAAAAAAAAAAAAAAAAGAAAGAAAGAAAGAAATAGAAAAATACTGTAATAACTAAACTGATATAATCCTCAAACTAAAATATAATATTTATATCTTAGAATATAAATTTGAAATTCTATATGTCTACTATAATTTTTAAATATTGTTTACTGACAAAACTGTGCTACTAAGCTACAACAATGTGAAACTTGTCACTGTTCCTATACTGTGAGTTTGCCATTCACTCCCTTTCCAAGTTATCCACCTGTATATAGGGTTTCAGTGTAATCATATTACTTAAAGAAAGCAATGCTAATAAATATTAAGTGAATGAATAAATAAAGTTCTGAGGGAACGTGTAGGAGGGAGTATAATGCAGCTGCTTACTGCTCTTTTTCCTAGTCCCACTCCTCTCATTTCCTACTGCTGTGTTGTACTCCATCTTGTTTTTAGCCAAAACTTTCCAAAACACAAAAATTTGCCATGTTATTCCTCACCCTGTTCCCAACTGTCTGACCTTCTCCCAGTATTTGTCTCTTTTTTCCAACTGGACTGCCATAACTGTCCTTTCTTTTAACCTGTAGGCCATGAACTGTTCCATTCTTCTCCTCTGCTAAGTTTCTGAAGACTCCCCTGATCCACTTAACCCAAGATCAGTTCTTTCTTTATGTTGCCATTGCACTTGCATTGTTCCTATTACAACAAGAGTTGTAACCAACATTTGAATTCTTAGCTATGTTGTGATTACCATTTTTGGGTTTAGTTCCCAGCACCCACATGGTGGCTAACAACTGTGCCTAACTCTAGTTCCAGGGGATCTAATGCTGTCTTTTGATCTTCTTGGGCACTGTACACATGAAGCATACTTCTATACATGCAGACAAAACACTTAAACACATAAAATGAAAATAAATTAGAAATATTTTAAAAAGAAATATGCCTAAGATGATACAAATTACAGAGAAGTGGAAATTTAAGTGGTCTAAGTATGGAACTTTTTTTTTTTTTTTTTTTTTTTTTGAGACAGGTTCTCCCTATAGCCCCAGCTGACCTGGAACTTACTATAGAGACCACTCTGGCCTCAATCTCACAGAGATCTGCCTGCCTCTGCCTTCCAAGTGCTGGGACTAAAGGCACCACGCCTTATAGAACATGTTCTTAACTGTGTATAATCTGCCTACTGACATTTATTTCTTATTATGTTTGCATTAGCTACGGTCAGTTGTAACCTCAAAGAATTGCAACTGGGTCTGGCATCCTCACTACTGTATCTCTGGGGCCTTGCTCAACACTTATACCTGGGTGGTATTTAGGGAGACCCCTGTGATCATTCCCATAGTCACTGCCAATAATAGCTTATAGTACTTAGAGATGCTAACTTTGGGCCCAACACTATTCTATAGGCTGTTGTGTGTTTTGCCTCATTTGACTACCCAAGATAACCCTTTGTGGTGGGTGCTTCTGTTTTGTAGGTGAAGAAATTGGAATAATGAGATGTCAATTAATTTTCTCAACAATACCCATCTAGTAAGTGATAGGATCTGAATTTGAATTCAGACAGTCTAGTTCTAGGCTCCGAACTTTTATCCTAATTGCCTCTTTGATAATAAAGCTTTCTTCTATGCAGTTTTGATTCCCTTTTCAGTATATTGTTAATGCTTGGTTCTAATTTGTATTACAAGTTTAAAGAGAATATTTTTAGCCAATTAAATCTATATCATATGCCCATCAAGCAGAAAACAAAGAAAGGAATGTGAACTTTACTATTTCATTAGGAATAGGAGGGTAGATAAGATGGTCCATTTTCAAAAGTTCCTAAAACCAGGGCTGAGGGTGTGGCTCAGTTATAGAGCTCTTGTCTGGCATGAGCAAGATCTTATGTTCAGTCCCAAGTAGCACAAAAATAGAACAAACAGGCAAAGCAGACAAACATTCCTAAAACTGGCTGGATTAGAATTAATTCTAATTTAAATTAATCACCTGTTTTTTTAAAGCAAATTCTCAAGTTTAAAAAGCGCTACATAAATTCATCATAGGTGAACTTACTGGATGTTATCCTATTATTCACCATGTACTCTTTAAAATACCAGATATATAATAATGAAAATCAACAGATACAGAAAGGTTTTAAATCTCCTTTATAGCCCTGTTCTACAAAAGTCCTGTTCCCTTCCCCACAAATAGGTAACCACTATTGTTAGTTTCCCAGGTTTAAATTACAATTAGTTAATGTATCTTCTTTTGGTCTTTGTTTGGTTAGATTTGGAAATGGATCCTGGAGAAGTATTTATTTAATAATTGTGAACCCTTAAGTAGGACTTGGTGACATTTATTTTTCAATAAGGTCACAAGAGTCTTTTCTCTGAAAAAATACTGTCAACTTACAGAATCAACTAATTCATGACAGAAAACATACAAGAAAATTGTCATCTGGAGAAGAGAAAAGTATTATGTATCAGAAAAATGAAAACCTTGAAGTCAGCCAGTTTGCAAGCTTCTTGAACACGGAGTTGTCCCTGAATGAAAGCCCCACAGGCAGCGAGAAAGAAGCCAGCCAGTCTGAAAGCAGTGCTGATGCCGACAGCGAGGCTTCCGAGTCTGAAAGTGCTGCCAAGCAGACCGTGTTGTTAAGGTCGAGTGGTGATTCCTGTGGACACACAGATGCACACCTTCACCTGCCATTCCCAAGTGAATTGCTGCACACCGAGGAGACGGATGGTGGTGACAGGGGAATTGCTGAAGCTATTTCTGAACTTTGTTTGAGCAGCACTCTAATTGGAAATGAAGATTTTGATGGGGAAAACCAGCCACTAAACATTCCAAATAATTTGTGTTTTTCAGAGGGAAAGCGTATGAGGTTTCATAGTGCCCAAAATGCTTTTCAGACTCTTTCTCAGAGCTATGTAACTACTCCTAAAGAATGCTCAGTTCAGTCATGTCTCTACCAGTTTACATCCATGGAATTACTAATGGGCAACAATAAGCTTCTCTGTGAGAACTGTACTGAAAAGAAGCAGAAATGCCAAAAAGGAACCGGTTCTGCAGGTAAATGTCTAGCTTACTTTGTTTTTGTGTAATTTATGGTGACTAGTGGCTTATGGATCCCAAGTGGGGACCCTAAGAATCTGTTTGTATTGAACTGCTTGGTATAAGCATTGTCTTGCTTATGTTTGTACCTCTATGCTTAAGACACTGCAAGTAGATTGCTGATAGATGTTTGTTGAAGTCAACTAAAGAGCAAGAAGTACCCATCTCTGTCATATCTGAGGGGTCTAATTATCTACAGTCTTTCTGAAATATCTCTAAAGCTTATGATTATACCACTAATGAGATTAATAATGAGATTAATGGCCTTCAGAAATCCCACTAGTTTCTTATAAATTTCAAGATACATATTTGAAGTTCTTAAATATGCGTATGCTTGACCCAGCTGGGAAGACTGGGAAGTCTCAACTGATGAATTTTCAATGCCTCTTTGCCTTAACTTGAATGGAAAGATAACTCTTGTGACTACAATATTTCTTGGGGATGAGAAGATGGCTCAGTTGGTATAGTGCTTGCTGCACAAGCATGAAGACCTGAATTTGGATGCCCAGCACCCATATAAAAGCCAGGTGCAGTGGCACACACCTATAATCCCAGTGCTGGGGAGGCAGAGACTAGATTCCCTAGGGCTTGTTGACCTGTCAATCTAGCTGGATCATTGGGCTCCAGGTTCACTGAGAGAGCCTGTCTCAAACATCAAAGTGGAGAATTGATTGAGAAAGACATATGACATCAACTGGCCTCCACATGTGTGTGCACCCATGCATAACCCCAGAAACATGTTTATACATGTACCACATAGACATACACATACATATATACACACAAATGTACATTTTCTTTAGTGTTTTTAAAATGTGGTATGATGCTGCTACATAAATATTTATCATATTATCAGCAACCTATTCAATGGAACTTTATAAGTAAATGCATTGTATTTTATGCAGGAAAGAAAACAGAAGTTTATACTAATGCCAGGAAGCAATTGCTCATTTCTTCTGTTCCAGTTATCCTAATTCTTCATCTTAAAAGATTCCATCAGGTAAAAGTCCTTGTGCCACCATACCCAGCTGCTTTGTTTTTGTTTTTGAGACAGGATCTCACTATGTAGCTCTGGCCAGCCTGGAGCTTACTATGTAGACCAGGCTGGAGTTGAACTCACAGATCTACCTGTCTCTGCCTCCCAAGTGCTGGGATTAAAGGCGTGTACCACCATGCCTGGCTGAGTTTCCTAATTAATTTTTAAATTAAGGGTTTGGTGTATAGCACTGTGATAAGGTACTTACCTAGGAAGCATGTTTCCAACACTGCAAAAAAAAGAATCTTAATTCACAATATTTGAAGATTTAGATGGTAGGAACCTAACCTAAGTGATATCTCTAAGTGGTATGTGCATATATGTATGTTAATGGAAACTAAATTTTATTAAGAACACTTAGAAGGAGCAAAGAGGTAAAGTACACACAGCTTTCTGAGCTCTTGTGATCCTGCTGGCTAGGACTAAACACAGAAAGAGTCTAAGGCAGGCCCTTCATACAGCACTTCAGTGGGAGGAAACACAAATGTCTTTCATGTATAAGTTTTTTTTTCAACTACTTACAGTTTTTGTTTTTTTGGTTTTTTAAAAATATTATTTTTATGTGCATGAGTATATTGCCTGCAATGCCCACGAAGATAGAACAGGCCATCGGATCCCCTGGAACTGGAGTTACAGACAGTTGTTAGGTGCCATGTGGGTGCTGGAATTCGAACCTGGGTCTTCTGCAAGAACAACCAGTGTTCTTAACCACTGAGCCATCTGTCCAGCCCCTCAACTACTTAAAGTTTTAATTCAGTACCATTTCTCAATGGATCTACCCCACCCCCACCCCCTGGGTCCCTGGACTGTGGTTTGAACCTAGGGCTTTTCCCATTTGTTAGTCAGGTGCCCTGCCACTGAGCTCTGTTATTTTAAATTTTGAGACAGGGTTTTTCTGAGTTTCCCAGGCTGGCCGGGGCTGTGTATGTTTATTGTGGCCTGGGCAGGCTTTGAATCTGGACTAACTTGAGCTACAGAATAAGACCCTATCTCAAAAAAAAAAATAATAATAATAGTGACTAGTGAAACGTAAATGAATATTTGGCCAAACTTCTGTGTGAAAGACTTTCTAACCATAATAGTAAAAGCCATGAAGGGGACTAACAAGATAGGTCAGTTGGTAAAGATAGCTGCTACCAAGCCTGACAACCTGAGTTCAATCCCTGGGACGCATGGTGGAAGGAGAGAACCAATTCCTACAAGTTGTCCTCCCCCAACCCCCAACCCTGCCCCCAAACATGCCCTGTGGCACATGTGCATGTACACAGAAACAGAGATTTTTTTTTAATGTAATTTTTTTAATTCTAAAAGAAAAAAAGCCATGAAAGAAGTCTTAAGAAAAAAGATTGGGAGTTTGTATGTACATATGTGTTAGGGATTGAACTGAGCACTTTGTACCTGCTAATCATATACTGTACCTACTTTGAGTTGAGTTATACCTATACCTAACCTGAATTGAGAGTTTTGTTACATATTTGCAACATTATATTTGCAATATTTCAGAGGTGCTACAGATGAGCCAGAAGAGATTTTTCTCTGTACCTTTCCCAATCTCAGTGGTAGAGCAATTGCCTAGCATGCATAAGACCCTGGGTTAGATCTCCAGCTCTAGGGGGAAAAGAAAGAAAGAGAGATGAGAGATTAAAGTTCATAGTTTTCACTCTCTTGGCATTTTATGTGGCTATGGGGAAATACCAACCAGGCTAGGATGAAGACTTTCCAGTGCGGCCCTAGATGGGGAGCACCCTCATTACTGTAAGTAAACTCTCCCATTGCTCTGGAAGTCAGTCCATTAAACTCATTGGTTTCTCATGAAGGAAAAAAAAAAAAAGCTAATGATTTTCTATGCCAACATTATAGAACTCAGTGGAGGTGAAATACTTATGGAGAGACATTATCATATCTCATCACCTCAGGCTGCATCTACAGAGACCATGTGAGCAAAGGAAGATCATGCCAGGTTGTGGAAACAAATTGCTTTATATTTGGTACTTGTATCCTCTTTAGGAACAACATAAAGAATTCATGTGCTTAAAGGGAAATATTTATGAATAACTCAGTCCCTTCTTGTTCTAAAGCTGAATATAATGTCAGCACAGCCAAGGGTTGGGAATGGTAGGGAAAAGTCCCTGAGTAAGATCCAGTTCTTGTTTTTTAATATCTCTAAAAGCTCGTTTCCCTGTATTTTTTTTTTTAATATCTCTAAAAGCTTGTTTCCCTGTAGTAACTTTAGAACTATATCTCAGAACCATCCATATCTTAAAAGCCATAAACATACCAAATGATTAATGTAAAGAACTCTTAAAGTCCAATAAGAAAAATGGCAAGATCCCAATAGTTACTTGAATATAGAATACCACTTGATAATTGCAGAACAGGGAATATAAATTCCAGTAAAGTATGAAAATTGGCCCATCCTGTCTACAAAAGAAATAAGAAAATGAGATTCCTTTTTATAACATGTCCAATTTAGTAGAGGTACAGTGTTGCTTGATAAGAACAAAAAAACATATTCACACTTACCAGAGGTAGGAGTATACGTTGGTAACACTGTCTAGAAAGTCTGTTAGTGATAAATGTCAAGTAATGTTTTGAATAAAGCAGTTTTGAACAAAGTTGTTCCCAAAATAATTTTACTTCTAAGAACCTATTGTACTGAAATTGAGATATACACAAAAATAATTAATCTACTTACAGATCAAGCCAGATGTAGAATTTAGCTAAACATCCAGTGTAAATGACATCAGATTTATATTTTAAGGACAAGGAGCAAATACTGTGTATCATTCTGTTATAAGAAAAAAAAGAGACAAGAGACTACATATACAATGTGAGATTTTTCCAAAAGTTATCCTCTAGGAAAGGATTCATCCTATAGTCCTTTACAGAGGCTTTTCTATTGTGAGGTAATTTCTCAGCAAGGACACAACAGCCTGGAATAATCTCAGTGCTGGTATTGATGCTCGCAGAGGTCACCTGATGAAAAAGGAGGCAAAGCAATTGAATGCAGATTGAAGAATTATTCCTGCATATGATCTCATAGTTTCATGTTAGATATCATGTTTTGTTTTGATAGCCCCAGCTCTCCTGGAACTCACTATAGCCCCAGCTGACTTGAAACTCACTATTAGACCAGACTGGCCTTGAACTCACAGAGATCTACCTGTATTTGCCTCCCTAGTGCTGGGATTAAAGGTGCTCTCTACCACGCCCAGCCATGTTGTTTTAAAGATCATTTGAGATAGCTCAGCCAGTAAAGTGCCTGTCATAAGGACCTGAATTTGGTCCTCAGAACCCATATGAAAAACTGGGGAGGCAGAGACAGGCTGATACTTGAGGCTCACTGGTCAGCCAGAATAACCTAAGCAGCAAGTTCCAGGCCAGTGAGAGACCCTGTCTCAAAATACAGGGTGATGACACCTGAGGAATCAGAAGAATGACACCCAAGGTTATCATCTAACACAATACATAAACACATACTGGCAAACAGTGTACCTATATGAATGAGCCCAGACACACACACACACACACACACACACACACACACACACACACACACAGGGATCACTTGGAAAACAGTTACTGGATCTATTTTGACTAAAAGAGTAGGGCTAAGGTTTTTTGTTTTGTTTTTTGTCTTTTCTTTAAAGACAATAAGAAAGCCAGGCGTGGTGCATACCTTTAATCCCAGCACTTGGGAAGCAGAGGCAGGTGGATCTCTGTGAGTTTAAGGCCAGCCTGGTCTACATAGTAAGTTCCAGGTCAGCTAGGGCTATGGGAGACCCTGTCTCAAAAAGACCCCCCCCCCCAAAAAAAGAGAGATAAGCAATAAAAAGATGACAAATATACAGTAAAAGTATATGATTTGCATTCAACGTAAAGACCATTGAAATTATGAAAGCCCTACATGAAAGACTATACCTGTTAATTTTTGTCTGTCCATGCAATTCAGAAAGTATGTATCATCTCATTCCATCAGTCCATTCTCTTCTAATAGTTGATCTGTTATAAAATTTTATTGAATTTTGTGGGTTTTTTTTGTGTGTGTGTGTGTGTGTGTGCACATGCATACATACATTCAGACCACAGTACACATGTGGTCAGAGGACAACTTTCAGGAGTCAGTTCTTTGATTCCACAGTGAGATCCAGGGAGGTGAGTTCCAGGAATCAAACTCAGCTCATCAGGCTTGTGCAGCAAGTGCCTTTACCCACTGAGCCATCTCAGTGGCCCTTTTTAGTTTTGTATTAGCATTACATAATATAGAGCATATATTTTTCAAGGTTTGCCTAATAGGATCCATTTGTAGTTGTTTTCTGCCTTGACCTAGATGAGGTTGCCTATTGTCAAGTTCATTTTTATCAAGCCATTGAGCTAGGTGTTCTTGACTCTTGCTGAATACATTCCTATAACAGTATGTATGTCGGTGGTTTAGCTTTTAGCACATTGAATTTATTTTTCTGTAATTGTTAAAAAAAAATCATGGTGGAAGTAATTGTTTCCCCTATTGTTCATGGAAGAACGAAGTGCCCATATAAATGAATAATCTTTGCGGTAACAATATATAAAATCTAATTTTTACTTATATTTTATGTATTAGTTTTTTCATGTATATAAGTAAGTACACCTGTGTCATGCAGTGCCTGTGATGTCAGAAGAGGACATTGGGTCCCCTGGAACTGGAGTTATGGACAGTTGTTTGTCACTATGTGGGTGCTGGGAACCAAACCCGAGCAGTTCTCTTAACTGCTAAGCCATCTCTCCAGCCTCCAAATCTAGTTTTTTAACATACAAAAATTGATATAACTATGATTAGTCGTGTTTTATTCTTATCTCCGAGAATAGGAAATTCTTTTAGTTTTAATTAACACAGTACTTTAGACTTAAGTTTGTTGTATTAATTTTTTTTTTTTTTTTTTGTCTTTTTAAGGCTGGCTTGAGTCTTCGTAAAGTAAACAGACATGTAGACTTTCCACTTACACTTGATTTAGCACCATTCTGTTCTCTTACTTGTAAGGTATGGTATATTTTAAGATAATTAACTTGAAAGTGATGCTTACGTGCATTCTGTGTATTGTTTTTAGGCCATGCTTTTGTTTTGTTTAAATAAGCTTCTCTCTGGAAGGAAATTTTAGTAATGAAATTAAATGAGTAAATGTGGCATATTAATACATTCAATGTGACTTTTGTCCTTTGGAAGAAAGATGAGCAAGGCAATAGGCATGTATCATGAGACTGTAAGCTATTTGTCCAAGCTATTAGCAGATGACTGCTGAGGGGAGTGAGCAGGCTGTGTGTTCCTTCTGAGGGAGCTACTTAGTGAGTTATAGTTTCCAGCTCCTGTGATGGTCTATCTCTTTTGCAAATAAACATATCAGTGCATTGTTTTTACCCCATTTCATGTGCAGCACTGATAGTGGTGTACTTGTCAGCTCTCAGAATTGCTAATGCCTTGCCAGCAAGCTTTATAATTGCTTGTGTTTACGTGGAAAGCTTGTGTATGTGCAGGGCTGGAGAAATGGCTCAGCAGTTAAGGGCACTGGCTACTCTTGCAGAGGACCCAGTTTTGATTCCCAGCACCCACACGTCAACTAACAACTGTCTGTAACTTCAGTTCCAGGGGGATCTCATGCCTTCTTCTGACCTCCTTGGACATTTCATGATATGGGTGCACTTACATACATATGGTCAATACAGTCATGTACATTAAAAATTAAATGAAAAAAAATTTTTAAAAACAAATTTCTAACACAAAAAAGTACATGTAACAAAAACAAATTTCCATAATCCAGTCTTAAAATCTCAGGTCTGTGGCCAGTCTTGCCCCCATCCACATGCTTTTCCATTTTATTATTATTTTGAAGAAAATATCAGGTATCATTTCACCCGTAAATATTTCATTATGAATGTCCAAAATACATGAATTACTCTCTGCCCTTTTCTGTTTTGAGTTTGAGACAGGACCTTGCTATGTAGCCCAGGCTGATCTGAACTCATGATTCTTCTGCCTCAGTCTCCCAAGTGTTGGGATTACAGGCATATGCCACAATATACTTTCTAATGTGGATTACTTTTTTGGAGGGTGGGGGTAGCAATTGAACCCAGGGTACCACACATGCTAGGCAAGTGCTGTACCACTGAGCTATACTGCATCATTTAAAATGTCCTTCATATCATGAGACTTGTTCTTGTCTCAAAAATGTGATTTTTAAAATGAATTAGTTTCCAAATAAAGGTCACTGTATTAATTTGATGATGTTGTTTAAGGCTATTTTAATGCATGGTTTCTTCTTTGTCATTTTCTGTTTGCAATTTACTTATTGAAGAGAGTCATCTTTTGCTATAATTTAATTTTGATAATTATTCTTTTGTATTATTTTCTACATTCAGTTGTAATAAGGAAGATTCAATAAATTCAAGTTTGATAGTCTCCTCGCCCTCTTTTTTTTCTTATAAGGCTATTTCATACAGAGCATTCTGTTCTTTCATGAGGAAGTACAGAGCATCTCAGTACAGTTTAAAGAATGTGTTTCTCTAGCCGGGCATAGTGGCGCACACCTTTAATCCCAGCTTTTGGGAGGCAAAGACAGGCCTGTGAGTTCAAGGCCAGCCTGATCTACGTAGTGAGTTTCAGGCCAGCTGGGACTACAGGAAGACCCTGTCTCAAAAAGACCAAAAAAAAAAGAAAAGAAAAGAATGTGCTTTTCTTATTTTCAACAGGATATACATTTACTCTTTCATACAATATTTCATTAAACGTTACTGATTTATTGTTTGTTTCTCCTTTTAAAAGAATGTAACTGTGGGAGATAAAGTTCTCTATGGTCTCTACGGCATAGTGGAACACAGTGGCTCAATGAGAGGAGGTCATTACACTGCTTATGTGAAAGTGAGAGTGCCCTCCAGGAAATTATCAGATCACGTTACTGGAAGGAAAAATGTACCTGGTAGGCCATCCTAAGTATATTATTAAAAATAAAAGAATTTTTTCTTCCTTTTTTGAAAGATGTAAGTTATTATTTTACAAGTACTGTAAGTGAATTCGTTTTCATTAATGTTAAGTAAAAATTGCACCTAAGCCTGTTTATATAATCTTCAAGAATCCTAATTATCTCAAGACAGCATCCTTTTAGGCATTATGAAGTCAGAGTAGTTTTTAAAGTTATAATGGGGTAGTAGTTTATATAACAATGCCATTTTGTATGTATGGTATATGTGTGTGAGAGAAAGAGGACAGGGGAGAGGAGAGGAGGGGAGGGGAGAAGAGGGGACAGGGAGAGGGAGGGGAGAGAGGGAGGGAGGGAGAGGGAGACTGGCTGAGTGGGGAGGCAGGCGAATGAGGGAGGCTGACTAGGTGAGGTATAGCACAGCATATGTGGAGTACGGAGTAAATGTGCAGTTGGTTCGTGCCTTCTACCTTGTTCCCTTGTTTTTGTGCTGTGCTGCATACTCCAGGTTTAACTGGGTCGAGAACTTCTGGGTGTTTTTCTTTGTTTTTCTTTTTTTTTAATCTCTCCATAAGAGCGCTGAGATGTAATCTCATGTAAGATTTGTGACACTTGCACCTGCTCTTTTTTGGCACAGGTCCTGGGGTATTAATTTGGGTCACCAGGCTTGTGTTGCTAACATCTTTGCCCCATGAACCATCTCTCCCCAGCCCCAACACCAATATTTTTGAAGATATACCAGATCCCCAGAATGGCGTTAGAGTTGGAAATTTGCTAGCTTTGCTTATAAGTAATTTATAATTAAATTTGTTTTTCCTCCCCTCCTTTTATTGGTTTTATTTTTAATTTTTTAAAGATTTTTTAATTATGTGTACATATTTTTATGTGTATGTCAGAATGTGCACATGTGAATGCAGGTGCCCACAGAGTCCAGAATAAGGTATTGTATCCCATAGAGCTGGAGTGACAGGCACTTGTGAGCTGATCAGCATGGGTACTGGGAACCAAACTCTTAGGTCCTCTCCAAGAGCAGTACATGCTCTCTCTCTCGGGCCTTTATTAGTTTTTTTTTGTTTTGTTTTGTTTTGTTTTGTTTTTGCTCTTTTTGAGACAAGGTCTCTCTCTAGCCCATGTTGACCTGGAACTAAGTAGACCAGGCTGGCCTTGAACTCACAGAGATCCACCTGCCTCTGCCTCCTGAGTGCTGGGACTAAAGGCATGTGCCACCACGCCCAGCTTGCTGTTTATTAGTTTTTAATTTGTTTCATTATTATGTGTGTAGTGTGTATGGAGGTCAGAGAACTAGGTTCTCTCTTACCTTTTTGTGGGTTATGAGGATCAAACTCAGGTGGCCAGGATTACACAGCAAGTACCTTTACTCATTGAACCCCTCCTCCCTCCCTGTTAGTGAAAATGATTTTTTCTCTGAGAAAGTAAGTATTACAAGGCTACTATTTCACTAGATAATTACATTTAAATATCACTAACTGGAGGTAATTGTTAATTACCTCCATATTAGTACTTTGAAAGAATTAGTTCACTTTAGGAAATGCTTGATTCAAGAAAAAACAGGCTCCTAAAATAAGATCTTAGAATTAAATATAGTTGATAATATGTTGCTGTTTACAATTTACAGGACATCAATCACTGTAACTGTAAAATTGTACTTCTTTTTGTTTTGTTAGGTTTGAAAGAAACTGATAGTGAATTCGGAGGCCACTGGGTCCATGTTACCGACACCTATGTGCAGGTGGTTCCAGAATCAAGAGCACTTAGCGCACAAGCTTATCTTCTTTTTTATGAAAGGATATTGTAATTATTTACTTGCTAATGGTAATGGTTATTTAGCTCATTTTTATGTGATGCTGCCATGGTAATCAATAATTTTTAATGTGCCTTTGTTGTCTTTTCTGTAGGAATAGCGCATTTTTCATATGTCACTTAACTTTTTCACCATTTAAAAATGAATTTATTCATTGCTTTCCAAATCTATATTCTTAAATGTAAAGTATGTTCTTTTTCATGTCCTGGGAAAAATCACCTCCCCCCGCCCCCCAAATTGATAGTTGTAGAGAAAACCACTTTATGATGTGGCTCATTATTAGAAGCACTCAGAAATGATGCTAAATCTAATAATTCTTAATGCACTGTGATAACCCTTCCTGAACTCTGGAACTCATGTAATACATCCTGTGCCATAATTTACTTATTTTTTATATTTTAGTTTTGTTCTGAGTTTACACTTTTATGTGCTTATTATTTTTCTAGCAAACAAAATAAATGTATAGCTAGTAAAGAGCAATTACTCATCCATGTACTACTCCATTTAAAATTATCTCAGGGCTACCCAGTGGCATATGAGTATTACTGTGTGTGAAACATTGCTAAAACAATATGAACTAATGCCTAATGTAACATAATTACTTTATATTTTATGTGATTCAGTCATCCAAAAGATATCACCATAATTCTAGTAGTGTGGGTTTACAACTTCTACATTGATTAGCTTATTGCTCTGAAGTTTTGAGACTATTGAAACATTTAGTAAACTAGTAATTTGTAGCCTATTCATGGTGAAGTTAATTTGCAAGTGGTTGGCTAAGGCCAAATGCAAATATAGATAATTGTGACATGTAGAATTGGTAAATAGAAGTTGATAATCTACATAGGAACACTGAATATGTTAAAGTGTAAGGATACCTTTGAAGTATAAACTACCAAGTTATATTTATAAAAGCTAGAGAATCATATTCTTCTACTTATCGAGGGAATATATGTTTTCTACTTCTTTGCTTTGATAAATATTAAATACAATTTTGTTTTGAACAAGCATCATTTAAAAGTTGAGGTGGGGGGGCTGAAGAGATGGCTCAGCGGTTAAGAACACTGGTTGTTTTTGCAGAGGACCCGTGTTCAAATCCCAGCACCCACATGGCAGTTAGCAACTGTCCATAACTCCAGTTCCAGGGGATCTGACAGCCTCTTCTATTCTTGCAGGCATTGCACAACATGGGTGCACTTACCTACATGCAGGCAGTGCACTCATACACATGAAATAAAAATGATAAATATATTTTTTAAAAGAGTTGAGATGGATCAGGCATGGTGGCGCACACCTTTAATGACAGCACAAAGGAGGCAGAGGCAGGTGGATCGCTGTGAGATCAAGGGCAGCCTGGTCTACATAGGGAGTTCCAGGCCACCTGGGACTACAAAGAGACCCTTTCTTAAAAACCTAACCATATAAGCAAACAACAAAAATGTTCAGGTGACTGGGGATATAGTTGAGTGGTAGAGCACTTGCCTAGCTTTCAGTCTCCACCACCACAAACAGAAAAGTTTAGGTAGGCTTAGCTTTTATTTAATGACACAGAGATGTCACTTCTGTTTCCTTTTTAAATAATTAAATAGCAACAAAAAATAGGATAGTTTTCCTCATCTAGAATTTCAATGACTAAACTGTGAAAACTTGGCACGAAAAATATTACTACTCAAAATTCAAAACAATCATGGCTACTTCAGTGACACATGTTTTGAATCAGAGCATAACCCAATGGTTCAACATCCTAGTCATTAATTAGTGCCAGTGAATGATGCTATAGGTAAATGTCAGAAAAGTGCCCTAGGAAGAGAAGGGTCAACAATGATTGTGAATAATGTGCAGAAACATTTAGCCAAGACTGAACCTTTTCAACATATGTGTGTGTGCAACATTATTAAAGTTACCAGTACTGCCTTTTGAAGAAATTTCAGTAGTAATTCTCTTGATTTTTTTTTTACATTCAAAATGGAGAAATACATCTTTATTTGCACAGAGCCCAATTGTGTCCTCCAAAGGGAAGTTTTTAGTGTTTTGTGTTTGATTGTCATCTATTAACATTGAAGATTTCAGTACCAGTGCAATGAACCTGAAAAAAAAAAAAACTTTCTCCAAATCAGCCATCTTGGTTATAACAATTGCCCCCAGGAAACAGATGTGAATGCTGCCACCTCTTTTTTCTCCTACAAAACATACTGGGGTGGGAATCTTTTTCTTATTTCAGTTAGATAAACCAAGTAGATACCCATACCTGGCGTGATGACAGTATTTTAAAATGGAAAAACCTAAACTCTGTATAATTTTAGACATTATTCTAGAGCTAACATGCAAATATTTTTATTTTCATTATCCTAGTGTTAAAAACTTGAGGTTATTCTAAAATGGATTTTCTTATGGCCTAGAGTTTATGAATGTTTTCTCTTGTCATCTGAAAATGGAAAAAAAGACTTGATTTTGATACTTAGGAGTCTATTATCAGACTTCTGTAATAGAGAAAAATTACACAAGTCTACAAATTTTTGTTTCTATTTTGAAGTTTACCAAAGCACATTGCAAGGATTTTAAATTATGAGGCTACTGTAATAGCAGTAGTTTCCAGATTACCCCAGGAAACAGTACAAATAAACAAGAATGTTTACAGATCATCAACACAACTACCATAACGTTTGACGGGATGAATTTAAAAGTTGAAACAGAAGCTTTTATTTAGAAACCAATTTACAGGGTATCTGTAGCCCCAGTTCTCCCCTAATTTTTCCATATTTAAGATGGTAAAATTTTGACGATATACCAATTAAGTGAATGTTTTTGATATAACCAAATACCCATCTGTACTTAAGATTTGTCATTTAATGTTTTAAAAAGTTACATGAAGACATCCATTTAGGTGACCAAGGAGAATGATAATTGGTATCAACTCAGAGTAATGTACCAACAGAGCTATTTTACTGTATCCGATAATTCTTAGCTTGCATGTGTGATTACTTTGATTAATAATTTTATGCAGTGATTGAATAAAATTTCCTAAAGATGAAACTGAAATGTATCATCCCACATCTAATTTTTATAGTATAAAATAACATTCTACCTACTTTTCTTAACTTTTATATTCATAATTTATTTTCTGCATGACATCTGACCAAATATTAAGTCTAAACCAAATATGTGCAATAAAATCAAGCTTTTAGATAGCATCTATTGCATTCTTTTAAAAAAAAAAAAAACAAGCTAGGCAAGGTGGTGCACGCCTTTAATCCCAGGATTCAGGAGGCAGAGGCAGAGGCAGAGACAGGCAGATCTCTGTGAGTTCAAGGCCAGCCTGGTCTACATAGTTGAGTTGCAGGCCAATTGGGGCTACAGGGAGACCGTGTCTCAAAAATAAATTAAATAAATAAATAAATAAATAAATAAACCTATTCTAGGGTCTGGAGAGATGATAGCTCAGCAGTTAAGAGCACTGACTGCTCTTCCAGAGGACCTAGGTTCAAATCCCAGCATCCACATGGTGGCTAATAGCCATCTATAACTCCAGTTCTGGGGTTGCAATGTCCTCTGCTGACCTCTGTGGGCATTGCAAGACACTGGTGCACTTATATACATGCAGGCAATACAGTCATACACATAAAATAATAATTTTTTAAAAATTTAAAACATATTTAAAAGGTCTTGTTCATGTAGAAATCATCAATTCAAATCTATTTAAAAGGCAGATGGCTATTTTCAAATTTGAGTAATAATTCATGGTATCATGCCTACTGTTTTATCCATTTTCACAATGTTCTAAAACTATGTAACATTGAGCATTATTTTGGTGTTACTTCATAAACATAATAAATTCTTATTTTTCTTATGTTACAAGATTAGTCCTGGAGTTTTTCATCATAAATTACTGATAGAATGGTCTGTCAGCATTGTATTTGCTTCGATTTTAGTTCCTGTAGCTTACTATAACAAAATGTAGTTTGAGGGGCTTATTAACAACAGAAGTTCATTTCCTGTACTTCCAGGGCCAAGTAGTCCACCATCAAGGCAAAGATTCAGTGTCTAGATGTTGCCCACTTTGGGTGTTCAAACAGTGCCATCTCAATGTTTCTTCACATGGTCAAAGAGCAAGGTTGCTCTGTGGTATGTTTTTCATGAGAGTACTAATAAGGGCTCCACTGTCATGTCCCAATCATTTTCCAAAGGCCCCACTTTCAAATAAGTCTCACACAGGGAATTTGTGAATGGGGTTGGGGCATAAACATTCATTCCACAGCATCTTACTTAACTATATTCTTTAAAATTTTTTTGATTTATTTATTTTCATTTTATGTGTATGAGTGTTATGTCTGTATGTATGTAAGTGCACCCATGTTGTGCAGTGCCCAAGGAGGTCAGAAGAGGGTGTCAGGTCCCCTGGAACTGCAGTTACAGAAGGCTGTTAGCCACCACGTGAGTGCTGGATTTGAACCCAGGTCCTCTGCAAGAACAACCAGTCTCTTAACCACTGAGCCATCTCTCCAGCCCCTCAGCTGTATTCTACATAACCTTCATATTGGGGCTGAAGAGATGTCTCAGTGATTAAGAGCACTGGTTGCTCTTGCAGAGGACCGGGGTTTGATTCCCAGCACCCACATGGCAGCTAACAACCATCTATAATTCCAGATGTAGGGGGTTGGACGCCCTCTTCTGACCTCTTGGGCACTGCCTGACACAGATGCACCTACCTACATGAAGGCAATATATTCATACACAAACTAAGAATAATACAAAAATAACCTTCATATTTTAGAAATGCACTAATTTTAAATTAAAAAACCATGTACACCACCACCCCCCGCCACCTTTTGAGGCTGAAAATTGTATCCACTTCCATTGAGCTACATCCCCAGTCCAGACAAAGTGTCTTAGATGGACCACTTGTAGCATTACCAATGATAAGTTTTCAACCTGTAAGATGTTTTTAAAGATATTCAAGTTATTTAAGCAGGATAGTAAATTAGGAAATATTTTATGTACATGTTTGTTTTAAATTATTTGGGGTCATGAAGCTTTTGCTAAGGCAATTAGATTTCACTGAGAAAAGCCTATTTCTTTGATTAGGCTGTTTCTCAGGTAAATAGACTAGAAAACTACAGAGCTATCTTCTAGTAATGTGTGGCATATGTTCTAGTTTTGCTCCATAAAGTGTTTTTATGGGTTCTTTTTTTAGTTTTTGTTTTTCTTTTGGGGGGAGGGTCTTTTTGAGATAGGGTCTCCCTGTAGCCCCAGCTGTCCTGGAACTATGTAGACCAGGCTAGCCTTGAACTCACAGAGATCCACATGCCTCTGCCTCCTGAGTGCTGGAATTAAAGGCATGTACCACCATGCCCAGCTTTTTTTTTTTTTTTTTTTTTTTTTTTTTTTAAGATCTGGAGCTTACTATGTAGCCTTGGCTTGCTCTGAACTCTGTGTAGCTCAGACTGGCCTCACTCAAACTCAGTGATCTACCTGCCTCTGCCTCCCCAGTACCAGCACCACCACCCAGTGTCCATAAAGCAGTTTTTAAAAGTCATATGGCTCAGCAGTTAAGAGCACTGACTGCTCTTGCAGAGGACCTGGGTTCGATTTCCAGCACCCACATGGCAGCTACGAACCATCCTTAACTCCAGTTCCAGGGGAATCCGAAGCCCTCTTCTGACCTCTGCAGCACTGCGCTACACGGGTGCACTCACATACATGCAGGCAATACACTCATACACATAAAATAACAATAATGAAAAAAAATAAAATATAAAAATCATATTAGTCTGTTGATGTGTCTTAGTTGTGCTAAGTGGAAATAAAGGGTCAAAGAAATAGAGCTTTCCTTCTGAATCTAGTAGGATACTTATGAACTCACATCCTAGTGTAGCCAGGTATTGATTGGTATTTTCAACCTCCTAAAAAATTACATTTTGAAGGCTAAATTTGAGGCCAGAAGATCTTTAGCTGGTGAGGACATCATTCTGATAACAGGTTTACCTGTTTCAAGTGCTTAATTTAGGAAGACAGAATTTCTACCAAAGGGCAAACCTAGTCACACATAGATTTTCATTATCCAATTAGCTGTACTCTTATTTCTACTTTAATTTGCTGTTTCTTGTGCACAGTAAAGACTTCTTTTTTTTTTTTGTCTTTTTGAGGCAGGGTCTCCCTGTAGCCCCAAGCTGGCCTGGCACTCGTTATGTTGACTCAGGCTATCCTCAATCTCCCAGAGATCCACCTGAGTCTGTCTCCTGAGTGTTGGGACTAAAAGCGTGTACCACCACACCGGCTTAAAGACTTAGAGTCTTTTTTAAAAAAATCTTTCATTTATTATTTTTATTTTATGTGTATGTGTGTTATGCCTGCACGTAGGTAAGTCCACCCGTGTAGTGCAATGCCCATGGTGGACAGAGGAGGGTGTTGGATTCCCCTGAAACTTGAGTTACCGACAGTTGTTAGCTCCCATATGGGTGCTGGGATTCAAACCCGGGTCTTCTGCAACAACAGTGTTCTTAACCGCTGAGCTATCTCTCCAGCCAGGAAATACTATTTTTTATTAGTTAATATTCATAAAATTTGGATCCAACCTAGTCCCCATTTTCTCCTCTCCCATTTCTATTTCTAAGCATTCTTGTTTCTCTTATAAGGAAGCTCCTGGGCTGGACATTGACACTTTAGCCACGTAAACATTTATGTTAAAACACCGTGGAATGTTTTCTTTGAACACTGCTTCCAGGCTTTCCGTCTTGTAGTTGAGGTAAAGGACCAGAGTAGGGACTACGCCGGCCCAGTCACTTTTTTCTAAAGGTCATGGGGAAATACTGAAACATCTACAGTAGCTGAGCAAAGCTGAGCTCAAGTTCCCACGAGGGGGCGCGGTGTTTGGGCGGTAAACAAAGAACAAGGGCTCCCCACGGGGTCGACACCTGACATCCTCAACTTTAGGATCGAAGAATGCACCTGAGCCCGGCGCACCCCAAGCCTGGGGCCACATGCCGACAAACTGGCCTGCAGCTGCAGGAGCCAGGAGCAGCTGCGGAATTGGCTGGGTTTGACCTTGGGGTACTTCTCTAGCGAAGCCAACTCGGCCTCTTTCCCAAAGCAGGGATGTTCCTAGGAGAGCGTACACTTTTTCCTGAAGGAGGGTCACATTACTAAAGTTAAGAGCTTGAAGGTGCACTCTGTGCCCACCGAAAAGATACAAATGTGTGGCGAACGACGCAGGGTTAACCTAAGACCTTACGATAAGAATGTTCAGTGGCCAAACTCAAAGAGGGTTTACCCATAAGAAAAATGGCGTGGTCATACGTCAACGCCTTTACGATTACGTGTTCACAAGCTTAGATAAGGGCAAGTATGGCTTCAGGTGACCAGCGGATGTGATTATTCCCTTCCGGGTGAGACCAACCGGGCGCCATCTTGTCTTGTTCATGAAGAAGTAGAAGCATCGAAAGGGTTGGAGAGGTATTACAGGAACGGTGGCGACTGCGGTGTTCCGGAACCCGAGTGGGTAAGTGGTGAGTAGGTACTCAGGGGGGCTTTCCAGACACTAAAATCGTGCTGGCGGGTGTGGCGAAGGCAGCGCGACTTAAGCAAGCTGCGCACGCTGCTTGGCGCGGCCACTCCAACCTTATTCCCGGAAAGCACAGCCAGCTGCCTGCGTCAGTGAAGGAGAGCGCTTCTCTCACAGAAAGGAAATGTTCTTCCTAACGCGTCTTCACGACAGCTTCTTCGAACTAAGAGGTTCCTTTCAGAGAAGGGACTTATTGTTGAGCGCCTCTCTGGCCGTTAAGTATTGCGCGTGCGCAGTGGGAACTCTTAAAGGGAAGGGGGTGCTGTCGGGCGAAGGGGGTGGCTGGGCCGGGAGCTGGAACTTTATGTGGTGCGACTCCGACCGCGCAGGCGCGGCCGAGAGCTGCCGAGAGCGGCTGCGTCCTCTGGAACTACAATTTGGATTTGATGGCTTAGTTTATTTCCGTGTTCTCATCCTGTGATGGGTCTTTTGTGCTGAGCATCACAAAGGAAACATACCAGCCTGTATTTCAGTTGTTTCGTACTTTTGTGTCTAGAATTGCCATCTAAACAAATTGAGCACTGGGCAAATTTTTTTTTTTCGTTTTTTTTTTTTTTTTCCACTTTACAGATTTTAATTGGCTTGGTTAAATAGTCTAAGATCTTTAATCCTCCAGTAACGATTTTTCTACTCTTGATCCTAGAAAATATAATAATAAGCTTGGAATGAATTTCTTGAGTACAACAGGGCAAACCAAAGCAGAACACTAAAGACTTTTTGTGTAGGTTTTTTAAAATCATCAAGAGAGACTAATAGTAAACAGTTCTTTTAGGATATGCTTGAGAGGCACTATTTAAAACTATATAAACTTATTTTTTAGAAGTCTTTTAGTTACCGAAAAATTGAACACTACGTAACCATCCTCACCCTTTGCCCCCTTGGTAAGATACATTTGTATGGTTCTTTTGTCTCAGTTAATGAACCATTATTGCTAAGTTGTTAACTGATAGCTTACTCCTATTTCTGTAGTTTAATAGATCACTTTTTTATTAATTTCTTTTTCATTTGTGTATGAGGGGTGGTCATAGGGCAGTTTGCAGTAGTTCTCTTCAGCCATGTGGGTTCTGGGGATGGAACTCAAGTCATCATGCTTGGCAGCAATGGTGAAGGTCTGGTGAGCCATCTCACAGACCCCTATTTCTTTAGTTTTTATCTAAAATTCTTTTTCTTTGCCTTAGATTATATGTAGTTCAGTGCACTTTTTGAGTCCTTAGTTGTGACAGTTTCTCAGGTTTTCTTTGTTTTGGATATGTGTCTGGGTTGAGTGCCTCCCCTTCCATGTGGAATTCCTAACTTCAGTACCTCAGAATTTGATCCTGTTTGGAGATAGGGTCTTTAAAGAGGCAAAAAGAGGTTGTTAGAGTGGACTATAACCCAGTATGACTGGTAGCCTAAGAAGAGACTTAAGACCCAAAGGGAAGACCAGAGTCTTGGTCTGGTATAATGTAGGGTCACCTCACATTGAAATTTACCTATTTTCCTCATGATTTGGAATGGTTTAGGGATTTGGGGGAGGGTGATCACAAGTAAAGTACCCTTTGTTTTCTGTAGCTCAGGCTGGCCTGGAATTTACTGTGATCTCTGGCTTCAGATTCCCGAGTGCTGGGATTACAGGTGTGTACTAGCATACTCTTTAAAGTACCCCTTATTGTGGGGTGCATACCGTCGGCATGACTTAAGGAGTTACTATTTAATCACCTGCCTGAAGCATGTTTACAGTTTTCTGTGTTGTAAATTTACCCCTTTTCTCTTCCTCCTTTTCATACTGTTCTGCTTTTTTGGTCTTGTTTTGGAGGGGATTGTTGTGTTGTGTTTTTGTTTTTAGACAAATTTTTACTGTGTGGCCCTGGCAGACCTGGAGCTCACTTTTGTAGACCAGTCTGGTCTCAGATTTGTAGCAGTCCCTTGTCTCAGTCTCCTAAGTGCTGAGATCACAGATGTGTATCATGGTGCTGAACTTGAATGAAATTACTTTCTATTATCTATTTGTAAGAAATAGGTAATATTTGAGCTGGGTGTGGTGTTGCTATCTTTAATCCCAGCACTTGGGAGGCAGAGGCAGAGGCAGGCAGGTCACATGGTCTACATAGCAAGTTCCTGGTCAGCTGGGGCTACAAAGAAATTGTCACAAAAAGACAAAAGAGTAATGCTCCCCTCCATAATTTGTTTATAGATCTCCATCGTAGATTTCCCCCTTCTCATTTGCTAATCTATGTAATTATAGTTGGTATAGACTCGGGGATAATCACCTTGTGATCTGTGTTATAATTCAGTACCATTGTTGCTCAGGTTCTTCCACTTTTGACCATTGGCAAATCTTTTTGCTGTCTGCTCTTCCCCACTAATTCTTTGCTTGCTGGATTGATGGCTGTTTTGTTTGTTTGGTTTGGAATTTTTTGAGACAAAGTCTCTAGGTGAAGCCGACCTCCAACTCCCAGCAATTCTCCTGTCTCAGATTTTCAGATGCTGGGATTACAGGCATGTGCTACCACAACGAACATCATCAATTTTTTTTTTGCTGTTGTTAGGGTTTTTTGAGACAGGGCCTCGGCTACCACCTGCCTCTACCTCCCAAGTGCTGGAATTAAAGGCATGCACAATCATACCCAGTCTATCAATTTAACTTCCTGGTAATATGAGATGATGTAAGGTTTTCTTTTATTGTTGAGTTACGGCATTTGAACCAAGTTCCTGTTGCTACTAGGCTGTTGTTTTAAGTCTTCTCTTTAACTTTATGTTCTAATTATCAATATTTTGTAACCAAAACGAATTTTCTCACAGCATTTGAGTTTAGTACCCATCTCCCTTGTTTGAGCAGTTACAAATTAGTATGAAAGAAAATACCTCCCAGTTAACTAGTTTTTAAGTGATTACAAAATTAATTTTTGTCAGTTTTGTGTTCACTTATTTGAACAAATGAATTCTGTTTGATTTTGAGGTTAGTCATTTATATATAAGACTTAATTGTCAGAGGCAAAGTTTTTTTAACCTCTGATGTCTCAGCTTTGTGTTTGATGTGAAAACCATTTCACAGTAAGTATCTAAAAGACACAATGTTTCTAGTTTCTGAATTTACATTTCATGCTTAAGGGCTTCATTTTACTTCATTCTGGGGGAAAATGACAGCTCCTTACTGTGTAGCTCAGGCTTGTCTCCAACTCAACTTCCTGTGCTTCTCTGCCTCCTGAGTGCTAGAATTATAAGTTTGCCGGGTATAAGGACCTTAAAACATCACATTTTAATTCTTGTCTATCCTTTAGTCACATAGTCAATAAGCGACTTTTCTAAATATTAATGATTATCATTTGAAGAAATCGTTTTAGGAAACAGATCAGTTGTAGGTTTTTTTTTCTTCAGTTGCAATTCTAATACAGAATAACGAAAGAATAAATTATTATTCTGGTTGTATTGGTATCCTGGGGTCAGTGTAATAGATTACTACAAACTTGATGGCTTAAAACAACTGAAATTTACTTTCGTGGTTCTGAAGTCAAAATGTGTGAAATCTTGGCTGAGGTTGGTGACGCACACTTTCAGTACCAGCTCTGGGAGGCAGAGGCAAGAGGGTCTCTGTGAGATCAAGGCCAGCCTGGTCTACATAGTGTGTTCTAGGGCTACATAGTTGGGGGTTACAGGGAAACCCTGTCTCAAAAAGACCAAGAAATCAAAAAATGTGTAAGCAAGGTATAGAAGGGTTGTAGTCCTTGATTGTTTGTTGGGGTCCGGGGTGGGGAGCGCCTTCCTTGTTTATTCCTAGCTTTAGTGGTTCCTGTCATTCTGTTCCCTTAGCTTGTAGACTTGTCTAATCTCTGGCACTGAAGGCACAGAGCATTCTGTTTATGGCTGCTTGTCTTTTCTCTTTATAGGAACACCAGTCATTTGATTAGGTCTTACCCTAATCAAGTATGACCTCATCTTAATTTGAATATTATATATGCACAGACCCTTATAAGGATGGATATTGGGGGTTAAGACTTCAGTGTATCTTTTGGGGAGATAACAGTTCAATCCATAACTCTGGTGATAGCTTTTTCCAGCAGTGTTATACTTTTGAGGATCAGGTGCAAATCTTGGTTATTGATCTTTTGTTCTTCCCAAATTCCAGTTGTTTTCCAAGGAAATCACAATTGACTTGACCCTGTGAAGGGAAATAGTCTCAGGAAAGTCTTGCAGCCCAACTCATCAATCATCAGACTTCTATAAACAAAAAGTTGATGAATCTATAAAATTAAATCTAGGACTGGAGCGATAGCTCAACAGTTAAGAACATTGGCTCTTCTTGCAGAGGACCTTGGTTTGGTTCCCAGCATCCACATGGTAGCTAACAGCATCTATAACTCTAGTTCCAGGGGATCCGATGCCCTCATCTGACTTTTGTGGGCATGGCATGACATAGGTGAAGTTACATACATGCAGGCAAAACACTCATATATATAAAATAAAATTTTTCTAAATTAAGTGTAAAAAAGAACTGAATTAGTTGAAGTCCATTAAAATTTTTTAATACATTTGCTTATTTTGTTTATGTGTGTTTGTATATGTTGTGGAAATACATACCATATGGTATGTGTGTGGAGGTCAGAGGACAACTTTCAGGAGTTATGTGGGTTCTGGGCATCAAACTCAGGTTATCAGACTGGGCAGCCCTCAAATTTATTATTTTAAAATTTTTTCTGGTGTGTGTGAGGTGCTGGTGATTAAATGTAGGCTTTGTACTTCCTAGGCAAGTGCTACTACTTAACTATATCCCTAGGTCATGGGACTGAAATTTGATATTATAAAATTAAAGTAGCAATATTAAAACATCCAAATATTATGTATTTAGTGAATAGCATAGTTGAATGAGCAAGTAAAATGTTTAACCATTTAAGATACTCTGATGGAATAGTCAAATATATTTCCTTTGCTCTCAAGAAGATTCTTGTTTGAACCAAAAC